CTTATACTCCATTAATTCCTGCTGCTCACGCGATTTGATCCGGTAGTTTTCAAACTTTACCTCACATAAAGCTAGAGGTAAAAAAAAACTACCAGAGACGGAGGGAGGGTGAAATCATAGGGATATAATGAAAAAACATACTGAATATGAAAAGAATGTACATTTTCATAAAAGGAGGGAAAGTCTGGAACAAACTCATAGAAATAAAGAAATGTCCAGGCATGAGGCTTTAGGAAAAGGATCGAACTAGTTTCCTAAAAAAGATCTGAGATGGAAGAAGCACACTGATTATTATTAGGCTCTTCTGGTCTCTTTAGATGATGTATATATATTTTAATGGCAGTGTTTGTGTAGGCTATTGGTAATAATTGTATGAATGAAGATGTCTAGGCATGTGTAAATGTGTATAAGGTAAGTTTATATGAAAATAAACTATATTTTTGCTTAATAGACTTTTGGAGCAGTTCTGAGAAGCAGGATAAATTGCTAAGGGGCAGACCCATTCTTCTGGTTCAATTTGCATGTTTTCTAAGACAAAACAACTTTTTTGGCTTCTATGAAAAGCTTTTAACACAACGCTAATTCTGACATTTTGAATTGAAAAAGCCTCCTGGATGGGAGGCGAAACGTCTTCAAACTTGGAAACAAAGTCCAGTGGATTATTTTTTTTTACTTTTTTGGAAAGATAAATAGGAATCTGCTTGTGTAGTGGAATATAGGAAGGTGAAGGAATCATATCAAATAAGTTTATCTTCTTCATCTAAGAAATTAATGTAATTTAGGCGTCTTTTTTAATTTCCAAATAAAACAAACATGGTTGATTTGACTCCTTCCACTGGGATTTTAACATTTTCACACCAACTTGTTAGTTGGTGTGAAAATGGTCAGGAATAGAGCTTGAAATCCTGAGGTTGTGATTTCGAACCCACTCCCACAGACTGCCACCCGCGCCATGATAATAACCCACTGCTCCCCAAGGGGATGGGTTAAAATGCAGAGGTAATTTTATCCAATGTCACATCAATAAAGTTCAATTATTGTAACCNCCATGATAATAACCCACTGCTCCCCAAGGGGATGGGTTAAAATGCAGAGGTAATTTTATCCAATGTCACATCAATAAAGTTCAATTATTGTAACCAGTGCAAAGAAAACCCGACAAGGAACCAGACTTTGGGTCTTCCTGGTTCTTCTTTGAAGATGTTACCTTAAACACACCCTAAACTCTAGATGAACTTTTGATTTAGAAAAGAATTGTCTATTATATTTCTTTACCTTTCCATGATCTTCTTTCTGCTCTTATTTTCAACCATGATCTGAAACTCTTTGTGCTGAAAGGGGCGTCCATTTTTATACTGAAAGGTTAAGAAGTCAGAGGTTCATACTAATGGCTCAGATTAAAATCAAAGAACAGAAGGGGAAAACAAGGTTTTTCTTTTAGTTTTAGAAAAAAATTGTATTGTTTTTTTTTTATCTTTATTCTTCACACAAGGTTTTTGGATAAAAACAGAAACCTCTCTGGATTTTATATTAAATTAGGATAACAGAACATGTTGATTCAACCGGTTGGATTAAGGCGTTTTCACACTTCATGCAGAAGTTGGGTCGTTTCCAGAGGCAGCGACGCACAAACAGAACAGCCGCTCTCTGGACAAAGGGGCAGCAGCCTGTCAGGCAGCACTCAGGGCTCAGCAGACACAGGATTGGCCTGCGTGGCGGCGGGTCAGTAGTTTGCTCTGAGCCGGCGGTTTTCCTCTCGCAGCTTCTCGATCTCCTCCACCAGGGACTCGTTGACGGAGTATTTCTCAATCAGACCGTGGATCTCCGTCTGGAACAGAACAGATCAAACACGTGTTCAACAAACGACACGGTAAAACATGCTTCACACAGGCACCAGGAGTCCTTCAGGAACACTTCATCAGACCAAAGTAACTACATGGATTAAAAAAAATAAACCAACAGGAGGATCAGAAAACCACAATGAGCAGATGATGTCCGAACTCCAAGGTTTGGATCACTTAAAGCTGATTGATCGGAATTCTGACCTACTGTGAGAAAATAAAAGAGTCCAGCCAATATGGACTGTAGGACCAGAGCATTGGTCTGAAACTCTGGTTCTTTGGACCTTCCTGATTAACTTCAGCTGAAAACCATAAAGAACCAAAGGATGCTTTTAAAAGGGGTCATAGAATACAAAACCAAGTTTCCATTGTCATAGATGAATAACGATAGTTCAGTGGGAGAAATGGACGTACAGAGAAG